CCAGCCCCGACTCCTCGAAACAGTACACGATCCTTCAGCCGGCTGGTATCGGGTCGAGAGCGGCCAGTGCAATTCAGGACATAGCCAGGGAGGGAGTGGTCAGTGTGACGGCTGTCAGCAGTTGTAGCACCAGCAACGGTAGCACCGCGAACGGTGGTATCAATAGTAACAGTAACAGCTGTGCCAACAATGTGGCCAGCAAGACTACGAGCAGCAGCAACGGAAGTAGTGGTAACGTGAGCAACGTGGCGAATTCGGTCAGCAACGGGAATAACGGGAACAATGTGACGAACAGTATCTCGATCACCGCAGTCTCGACCAGCACGACCACGTCTAGTTCCACGACAGGTGTCGAGGCGTCGTCCGGGGCTGGTCATCAAGAGACTGTGATGAAAATGCCCGAAAGACCTGTTACCTTCGATGGCAGCAGACCGGGAATGTCCATGTCTCCGTCCAGTCTCAGCAGAGGTGAGAGTTTCAAAGTAAAATCATTTTGCGTCACGAGTATCTTCCACGTTTTGGGAATTTATGAAGATCTCGTGTCTTATCCTTTTCGAGGAATCCCTTTTTTTTCACGCGACCTGTGTAGGATAATACGAAAATACCTCGATAATATTCGTCTCTCGTGCTCCGTCGAGACTTTAACGACTGCAAATGGGACACGAGCAACGTGCCCCCAAAATCGCTTTCTCCCGACCGTGACGATTTCGTTTACGAGCGAAGACAGACATCGGGGCATGAAGAAACTCGCGAAATCATTGATGAGATTAATGTTTCAGGCGATCAGTCAGGGTTCAGAATCCATGCGTTATCCTCTACTCGAGAGAAGGATACAAAAGGCATTTTCGACATCTCCCGCGTATACAGTACCTCTTCTCCTCGGCCTTTCTCCGTCACACTCTCCCTCTCTCTTGCTTTCTCTATGAAGTTAGGGGAGTTAGGGTAGCACGGAAAATCAATAATTACGAAGCGAGGGGCGATGACTCAAATGGTGAAATCAAGGTCTCTCAAAGTAAAGTTATTCTCCGTATCCTCCGCTACAGCCACTTTGTCTTCGTCTTTGGCGCAGCTTCGAAACTATTCGCTTGATCACGGGAACGTCGCGATGATCGTAAAGACTAGCAGCACGCGGGGAAACTTGCACCTATCAGACGCATTCGAGCACGTGCCCTTCAGAGCTCTGTGATATAAGCCAGAGTTTACGTCGCCATGTGCTGCTCCCTATCTTTTTTAAATTACTTCACTTCTTTTTCCTTTTCTAACTAACTTTTTCAAAACTGATTGTTTCTTTACGTACTTTAAATTTCTGAAGTATATTGATATTTTGACTATATGATTTTACAAACAAACTTACTCACCGTTAAAATAAATTTTTTTAGAATAATCTTTTACGATCTTTTTATTAGTCTTTAAATTAGATATATTATTTATTATATCTAATTTATATATAATACTAAGTGATTATTTTAATTGTGTCACAATTAATGGTGTCCTAAATTAATAATTTCCACTAATGTGTACAAATAATCACGAAGTGATTGAATTTAATTACATCGCAATTAATTGTATCCTAAATTAGTAATTTCCACTATTAACAATATTTTGAATTAAATATAATTCGATAAATACGATACGAACCTGACCCACTTGTCTAAATTGAAACGTTTAATCGATCGATCGAAACGAGATGAGCAGTCGCGAGATGAATAAGAATCAAAAAGAAAAAAAAGAAAAAAGGAAGAAAGAAATCAAAGAAAATTTACCCGTTACCCGCCAATAGGGAGACATTCCACGGTCGTGACAGGTGGAAGTTCGAGTGCATTCCAGGGTCTTAGGGCAGCGACGACACGATGTGCCTAGACGGGGAAATTTGGGGTTGATACCACGTCATACGTATAAGCCGCAGCTGTCAGCAGCTAGAAACGTGACTAGCATCCCAGCCACATCACGGTACCTTATTACCACCATGCGGCTCTGCTGCCTGTCCTCATTATCCCCTTAACGTTTTCTCCGACTGAAGCTGCGAAGATGAACAGTTCAAAAATTCAATCTTCCTTGTCACATGTCACGCGGATGCGTTGACCTACATCTTCTTCGAGAACGAAAAAATTTTAGAAATAAAGTTAATAGAATATAAAACTTGTAATCTTCAAACCAGATATATATATATACATAAACTATTAAAACCAATTCTCAACGTTTATTCCCAAGAATTTACTTGTCAATATTTCACAACGATCGATCATTAAAAGATTCGTGGTCGCAGATAAAGCGAGTAGCACGACGGAAATCTCGGTGAATAAACGTAGGGCCGTGATAAGTGGGCACGATTAATCCCATACTTACAAGCGTGACGGCGGTACAGGCTTGCCTGCCGGACTCCACAGACCTATAGTTTTAATCGCAGCCTCGTTCGCCCGTGCCATTCGCGCCGCTCGTTCCCGTACCTTTCGATTTAGCGACAGGATCGCGTGCACGTCGTGCTACTTCCTCTTTTCTTCTCTTCTTTTTATACTTCGTCTCTCTCTTTCTCTCTCTCTTTCTTTTTCTTTCTCTCCGCTCCGTTTTTTAAAATATTTTCTCTTTTTTTCTCTTTTTTTTTTTTTTCACTCAACACAGGCATACACACGCGCGTTACACGAGCGTAAGAGCGTGTTGACACGCCATAAAACCGCTATCGGGAAATCCGTCGGCCGCAAAAACCACCCTTTCCGCGTTGAAACCGCGCGGCAGGCAGGGTTGGCCTGGCTAATAAAAAAATAAACTGCCCTGTAACTCAATTTTACGCTGCCTTTGCGACCGCACGCATAAAAAGGACCTTTACTCGCGCGAGGCAGGGGCTCTACCCTCGCGTTACGGCTACAAGCGCCGCCAGTGTGTAAATACGTGCCCCGTGATTGTTCCCTGGGCTGTTCTCTTTTTTTAGAATCTTTCGTCTTCTACTTATCGACCTCTTCAAGATCCCATCTCCGTGGCCGATCGAGGATCGACCGTCACGTTCTTACACGACTACATTCCTCCTTCTAACGGCTATTAGATAAAACACATTTAGAATTCTGCATTCTGCGTTTTTTCCCATCTTGTTCCCACAAGGGTTAACAGGTGTAAAGATATTTTTCTTTCCCGCGACGATCAAAAGAATCCGATAAGGGGATCCCCGTGCTTCGTATCGATTCGATTAAAATAAATCCCCGACTATTTATTCGCCCTCACGTTGCGTGGACATTTAAATCTGTCCATCGATTAGATAGACGTGGTTCGCGCGTTTAACCGCAATTTCAACCGTCGATAATATCTCCGATTCGAGCACGATGCGTGCGCGATCGCGGAAAGGAAAAAGAGGGTGAGCGATACGTAAGGGGTGAAGAGAAACGAGGACAGGAGAGAAAGAGAGAGAGAGAGAGACAGAGAGAAACAGAGGGAAAAAAGAGGAAAGAATTCGGCACGCGTCGTGCAACGGGCCGAAATGAATAAAACAATCCTGGTGTTTATGTACACCTCTGGACCTCCCGCGGTGACCCTCACGTGAAATGGCAACAAAATAACACAATTACACACTCGGCCACGGCCTCACCCTCGACTAGTACCCGCGCTACTCATCCTCGTTCTCACCCCTTGGACCCCGCTCTTCTACCCTCCTTCTCTCTCTCTCTCTCTTTTTCTCTCTTTCTCTCTCTCTCTGACCCTCTCTCGCCATTCGGGCCACGGGATCCCATGGCGGGGAAAGAGGGGGAAAAAAAAGAAGAAGGAAGAAGAAGAGAGAACTGGCTGGCTGACCGACTCGTTACAAGTCTATTCAGAGATCCGGAAAGAACAGCGCGTGCCGGTATTCATTTTGTTGACCGGAACCATTATCCGCCCCTTCCTCCGCCCTTTTCTTTTCCCTTCCACCAGGTTTTTCTATCTGTTTTTTTTCTCGCCTCCTCCCCTCCCCTCCTCCTTCTATCCCCAGTCGAGCTTAGGTATCGGCCGGCCGCTTTAAAACCTTACGGCTAATTTATTAATCCCGCCGGCGGCCAACCGCCACCCTTAGCCGTTTTTCAGCCCGCCGCTAATTAAAAAGCAACCGGGATACCGTTCGACGTTCCATCCAAAGTATAAGCGAATATCCGTTATTTCTTTATTAGAGACGCGTGTTTCTTCATTATCGAAACGATTTTTGTTTAAAATGTATCTATATAAAATGGATATATGTTGGCTGGTAATTTAGATTTGTTTAGAGAAGAATGGATGCGATGGGAAAAATGAAAATAGCAGCGAATGGGTTTAGTTAAGAGATCGATGATACGTGCTGTGTCTGAGTCTAGTTTGCTAATACTACTTGTTGAAAACTCGGAAGATCGTTAATGGAAATCGCGTTCCGTAGATATTAATTCTTTTTTTTCCTTTCTGTAAAAGAAAAGAGAATCTTGTTAATGTTTCTCACATTAATTTGTTTATATTAAAAACTTTATTTTATCAATCCATTTAAAATAAAAAAAAACACATAATATATATTATTTAAAAATATTAATCTCCTTATTTTGCATAAAAGAATCAAATGTTCCTTCCTAGTACAAAAGAATCA